GGGAGGCTGAGGCAGGATAATCGCTTGAACCCCGGAGGCAGAAGTTGCAGTGAGCCCATACCGTGCCACTGCACTCCAGCCTAGGTGACAGAGTGAGACTCCACCTCAAAAATCAAAAACCAAAACCAAAAACAAAAAACAGTAGGAGTGAAAGGGAGAAAAGCTGCAACAGTAGGAACTCTCAGCCAGACATGGTGATACACGCCTGTAATCCCAGCACCTTGGGAGGCTGAAGCAGGCAGATCACTTGAGGTCAGGAGTTTGAGACCAGCCTAGCCAACATGATGAAACCCCATCTCTGCTAAAAATACAAAAATTAGCCAGGCGTGGTGTCGTGTGCCTGTAACCCAGCTACATGGAGGCTGAGGCAGGAGAATTGCTTGAACCCAGGAGCCGAGGCTGCAGTGAGCCAAGATGATGCCACTGCACTCCAGCCTGGGCGACAGAGCAAGACACCATCTTAAAAAAAAAGAACTCTATCTACTATACTGAATTCAGATCATCTTTTTAACAAACAGACACATACAACTCCAAAGGTACTGTTATCTTTTTCTCTCTTATTATTTGGGTTCACATAACGACTTTCCTACCTGAATTTTCTGAAAGCAAATGCATTTTTTATCCAGACCAAGAAATGGGAGTTGGAGGGGAAAGGTGGAGGCACAGCTGTTTTAAGTTATAAAGTAACACCACACACCAAACTGACTGAATTATTTCAAGGGCATTAAATATGGTAAATGGAGGCCTTTCTGCTAGCAATTAACATAAATTAAATGCTGATGGAGACTTCATCGGTGTCATGATCCTTACTTTTATTGTATTTGTGTGTTTCTGTGTTGCAAACAGCCCTGGCTTTATTACTTCTTGCACTATAATTATCACTAATGGATTTTACCTAATAAGATCCCACCTGCATTTGGGATTATTTGCTTGACTTGTTTCTTTTTCTCACAGCTGAAACAACTGCAAAGAACACAGGGGCTCCGCCTGCCTCCTTTGTCTGCCAGTGATTTACAGGAGATTTTTAAGCTCTGCTGCTGGCCCAAGAGTTTCTCTGCAATCTTACTCCAGATTTCCCCAGGACTGCTCCTTTCCTGCTTTCAAAACTGCTGGGTTCTGTACGTCAAGGGATGGTGCTTGGCAGCATATTTAACTTCATGCTTTCACAATGAGAATGGCTGTGGCTTTGCTGTCAGCTTCACTGCTGAAACACTCTGCACCACATTACTCACAACCCTGTGCTTTATCAAAACCGCTCAACGTAACAACGCTCATTATATACAAGTTAATCCCAGTATGGCCCAAAGTATCGAGGAAGCCCCCTACAAAACAGCAGGATTCATTTCACAAACATCTCCTCTGAGAAATGTAAGGTCTACGGTAATAAACTACGAGAGGATTGAGATTGGTTTTGGAAATAACAAATAACACTGTTAGCCTTTTCCTACGACTGCAACGCCAGGAGTATGTAATTAGGTTATTTCTAAGAAACCAGCAGTGCTTGGGCCATCCTAACATGCTTTGAGCATGAAATCTTACTACTTTTCCAAGGCACCAAAAATACTTAGCTTATTTCTGCTTCATGCAACTATAATTTTTAAGATGACAGATTGTAATAAAGCACTAGCTTTCATGAATCATTTCATAATGCAATTATGTTTTTACCTGTTACATTTCACTAATTACATTTTTACCTGGTTGGACACTAGTTCCATTTTATATGGTCCTGTCCCTGAACTTGGATTTTATTCAGGCGTATGAACGGCTAAGAGATCATAAATGTATGGCTATGAGGTGTAGGGGTGTGTGTGTGTGTGTGTGTGTGTGTTTTAAATAGAGATAGGGTCTCGCTCCGTTAACCAGGCTTGGAGTGCAGTGGCTATCACAGCTCACCGCAGCCTCAAACTCCTAGGCTCAAGCGATCCCGCCTGCCTCAGCATCCCAAGTAGTTGGGACTACAGCTGCACACCACCACGTCCAGCTTTTTATTTTTTGTAGAGACAGGGAGTCTCGCTATATTGTCCAGGCTGGTCTCAAACTCCTGGCCTCAAGTGATCTTCTTGTCTGGCCTCCCAAAGTGCTGGGATTACAGGTGTGAGTCACCACACTCATTGCTGTAAGTTGTGTATTAACGTACAAACTGGTGCCACCTCCACTAATGTATCCTTTAATCCTAAACAACTAAAACGTGAGACTGTGTTGCCACAATTCTGATGATTTCTCAAGCTTTTTCTTTCTAGTTTTTCTCATTTACTGAACATGTTAATACTTACACCCCCTGTAACAGTACATACACTATTTTTTTAAATAGGAGAAAACCGAGTCAGAGAATACCCAATGCACGTTGCTCAACCCTCCCATTTCTAGAAGAAAAAAAAAATGCACAAACCAAAACAAGAAAAGGGAAGCCAGTCTCTTTCCACGACAGCTCAGAATAACCCGAATAAACACCAAAAAAAAGGGGCTAAGCATGAAAGCCCTTTTCATCTCCACAAGAACAGAACAGAAAAATACACGTTACAATTTCAGGAGACCTCAGCAACTTCTGGATCTTGCCTGAAAAGGAAAAGCAGCTGAAAAGACCCTTTCAGAGAGAGAAGGTAGAGAACCTTCCATTGTGAGTTCAATTATGTGTTAAAAGGGCCTTGGATTTTTAACCTAGAAACACTTGTATAAGTAGTAACCAATTCAAAGCCTTCAAGTAGTTGCCAGACCATTCTGACTGCCCCAGCTGTCCCACAGCTGCCTCTGCACATGGCCTTGTGGAGGCCTGTACCCACCTGGTCGCATCCTGCGTTCACCAGTTCCTGCAGCATTTGCCGGTTCACTTCTGCAGCTGCAGAGGTGCCTGATTCATTAGCAAAAGGCAACAAGGAATATCTGATTTCCCTCAAGGCTTTCTGATAAGGTCCGAACTTTGGGGTGGCTCTCATCTGCTGCTGCTGTCTGGCGGCATCTTTGCTCCCCAGGACTTTGGCATCCAGGGAAGTGTCACTGTTTGGGCCCACGGGTAGCCCCTGAGCCGAAGACTTGGATGGCTGCTTTAACCCCTCACGGATCTCCTGCAGTCGCTGCCGGCTATTTCCAGAATAAGTTGTGGCAGGAAAAGTCTTTGGCCTCATTGTTAGTCCAGTTTCCTTTTACCATAAATACAATCTTCTTAAAGTGTTTTATTATTTTTTTAAAAAAAACTGTCAATAGTATCAGTTTGTTGTAAACATACTTTCAAAATAATTTCCTTTTGAAAATGTTCTTTCCTTCAATTTTTGTAGTTCCTATGGAGAACCTAAAATTTTCCAAAGTCTTCATTTTGAAGATCATCACTCTCTGAAAAAGAAAATAAATGGGAGAGAAATGTTCATTTGTCGTTTTCACACAATGTTAATGCTATTTTTCAGAAACGAACAGTGATCGCGGAAATATACCACTTGGAAAGAAAAGAAAGAACGCATCACCTCTCAGAAATGACAAAAATACTGTTCAACCATGGTTAGAGCACATGACATCTAGGGCTGTCCCAAAATGTTTCCTGTAATACGTAATCTGCAACAAAGTAAATCGCTATAAATATTCAACTCAGGGCAAGAACAGTAGTATCAACAACTGACAGCTCATTTAAAACATTTCATTATAATAAAATTTTATTTTGAAACCTACAGCTTGAGGAGTATTTAGAGTTAAATGTTCTACATGGGACCTTGGATTTCTGGCTTGTTCCTAATAACCACTCAACTCCTTGTCCTTCATCCCTATGGCTTTACTAACCTCTCCCTTCACATGAGATGTGGTCCTTCCATCTCTTTTTTGAAAACTTTCTGAACTTCTCCTTATAAAACCCTCCCAATTTCCTAAAAGACACCCCAAAGTCTGTCATGTTAAAAGAGTCCTATGATGCCGGGCGCGGTGGCTCAAGCCTGTAATCCCAGCACTTTGGGAGGCCGAGGCGGGTGGATCACAAGGTCAGGAGATCGAGACCTTCCTGGCTAACACGGTGAAACCCCGTCTCTACTAAAAAATACAAAAAAAAAAAACTAGCTGGGCGAGGTGGCGGGCACCTGTAGTCCTTGCTACTTGGGAGGCTGAGGCAGGAGAATGGCGTAAACCCGGGAGGCGGAGCTTGCAGTGAGCTGAGATCCGGCCACTGCACTCCAGCCTGGGCGACAGAGCGAGACTCCATCTCAAAAAAAAAAAAAGAGTCCTATGTTGCAAATGTTTCAACTGCAGTTTTCACACACACATCATGAGACTTTGAAGGTAACTACTTCCTTGATTTTTTACAAGGTGGCCACTTACCAGCATTTGGACCTAAATAGTAAAATTAAAATTTCTTTCTTGTAGCAACTGATACTGACATGGAAGGGGACTGGTAACAGCATGTAGGAAACTTCTCAAGAGTGCACTATGGCCACACGAACGTCCAATGATCATGTGGATAAGAGTTATGAGTCCAGAACTACGACTTCAGCATGGAAATGGCCTTGTTATGCGGAATGTGATGTCACAAAGGCACTTTCCAAGGGTAAATTCTACCTACTCCAGGCCTAGTGCACGGCCTACTCTGCTGTTCTTTGATTCAGAAAGCAAAATCCAGCCCAAGTTGATCTGAGTTGACCTCAGCAGCCAGCACAGGTCACTTGTCACAAGGCTGGGTGACCCTGGACCAGTCCCTTGGCCTCCCTCAGCCCCACACTCCCTGCTATGTAATAGGGACGGATGCTTAGGACAGTGGTGAGCACCAGGTCAGATGACAAGGGTACCAGGTCCTGCGGTACTTGGGACACACAACACCCTCCCTATTCTTCACCCCGTGGCGACTGTTTATCTAACCAGCTGCCCTCGCTCAGGCAAGGTGCCCGCTGGTGGGAAAGGCAGAGCCAGCACCCCACACCGTGCCAAAGCCCTTAGTGGCTGCCCCTTCCCTCACCCAATCCCCTTACTCCACAGAACTCAATAAGCAGATTTCGAAGGATAATCATTTTGAGTTCTAATAAAATGAAGAACAACTGATCCAAAAAGAGTACCCTTTAAACGGGGATGGGCAGAGGGATCTGGATGCTCAGCTTACGTAAGGAACTTTGTAACTGTAAACCGTGACCCAGCTTCACAGACTTTTTCAAGCGGATAAAAAAAAAAGGATAGCTAACATTCACCCACCCTTACTACGTGTCAGGTGCAGCTCAAAGAGTTAATCTACATAGATCTATCATACAACCATACGCAATAGCAAACACTAAGAGATGACATTTGAATTACTAGTCCTTGCTTAGATGGGAAGGGGATTGTAAGCATTTTAACTATCCCCTTTCTCAATGTAATTGTGAGAGGATTCCATTTAGAAGGTAAAAGAGAGACTAAACAAATTTCTCAACATGAAATCTCTATTTTAATACACAATATAATATAGTAAAGTCACTAAAATGACTGTGTTAAGACTGTGCAGATATCGAGCTATTAGATCCAGGTACAGCCCAGATCCCCTGGGGCCTGTACTGGCCACATACCAGAAGCCTAGAGCTCTGCTTAATTGGTGTAAAATGGGGCATATTGCAGCCACACTCATTTCAGTGACTTTGTGCTCTAAGCATCTGTTTTGAAATACCTAACTTTGTAAAACCATAGCTTCACATTCCAACAAAAACGGAGAGGTTCTCAACGTGATGCCAAGCAGTATGCAGGATGCTAGGAGTGACTCGGTATGTCCGGGAAGAGGCAGAAGAGTTCTTTCTTTTCCTATAGGAATTCACACAAATCACTTTGTTTCCAATCTTTAGTTTTCTTCCCTTTCTTTGAAAACTAAAATAGAGAAAACACAGCCATACTATCTTCACAAGAACGATCAACGCAAGAGAGGGCCTGACAACATGCGGAGAGTTTCTTCACGTCCAGCACGTCCAGAACATTCACTCGGCCATCTACTCATCTAGCCCATCCACCCTCTATCTACCCTACTAACATTTATTAAATACCTACTCAAGGCCGGGCGTGGTGGCTCACGCCTGTAACCCCAGCCACTTGGGGAGGCCAAGGCGGGCGGATCACCTGAGGTCAGGAGTTTGAGACCAGCCTGGCCCACATATAGTGAAACCCTGTCTCTACTAACTAAAAATAAAAAAATTAGCCAGGCATGGTGGCAGGTGCCTATGATCCCAGCTACTCAGGGAGGCTGAGGCAGGAGAATCACTTGAACCAGGGAGGCAGGGGTTGCAGTGAGCCGAGATCGCACCATTGCACTCCAGCCTGGGCAACAAGAGCGAAACTCTGTCTCAAAAAAAATAAATAAATAAACAAAAACAAAAAAAACTTACTGAATCTCAGGCACTGATAGGATAAATGAAAACAAAATCTCGGCTTCAGCAAGTTTACTGTCAAGTGAATGCTGCGGTGAGGCAGGCAAATAAACAGCTTCAAAAAGAGAGAGATACCTGGAGAATAAAAAAGAAAGAGCTCTAAGGTAGAAATAATTAGACCTGAGTGTCAGGAGGAATGGAAATCCAGCTAGAGGGAACAGCATATGCAAAGAAGCCTTTAGGCTCCACCTACCACGTTCAGGTCTGTGCAGTTCAGGCTCTTCCTGGAGATACAGGAGGTCAAAGGACTGGGGGGTAGGGGGAGGCGGGAAGGGTTGGGGGGGGCCTGTGGGATGAAACCATAGAAGTCCCCAGAGGCTCAATTCGCGGCCATGTTGAGTCTGGACTCAGTGCAGAGGATGGGCAGCCACTGTCTATGGTTCAGCTAACAAGTGACACGGCCTGAGTGGAAGGTGGGCTAGAACGGACAAGTGCAGCACTTCCTGGGTGAGGAGCAGCAGCCCCGGGGAGCAAGGGGAAGGGGTTTCAGGTCTGGAATGAAAGGCACAGACGCGGGGTGGTGGGGAGGGATGCTGGCATCGGCGTATGGGGCATTTGCCCAGCCAATGGCCTGCCTGCTCAGCCATGAAATGGAGCTACCAGGTGAGTGGATGGCTGAAGGCCCTCCCGGCTCACTCACATTCCTTAGAGGAGCAGCCATCTGTGATATGTCTCTTTTTACCAGCAGTGATATTAGCATGGCACAGAAGGGGCAAGCTGCTTTCCACTCAGCTATGAAAGGGCAAGAGCCACAAGAGACAATCCAGACTGAAGAAAAAGAACCATGAGAAAGTTCCATGTTAAAGCCAGGATGCAGGGATGTCCTCTCCCCCATCACACGAGCAGACAGAAGGGAGCTGGGGGTGGCTGAAGGAGGTCCTGGTTGACTCTGAGGCTGGAAAGCTCTCTCTGAAATCTGCTCTAAAGAAGGGAAACTGGCCGGGCGCTGTGGCTCACGCCTATAATCCCAGCTCTTTCGGACGCCAAGGTGGGCAGATCACTTCAGGTCAGGAGTTTGAGACCAGCCTGGCCAACATAGTGAAACCCTGTCTCTACTAAAAATACAAAAATTAGCTAGGTGTGGCGGCACACCCCTGTAGTCCAGCTACTCGGGAGGCTGAGGCAGGAGCATCCCTTGAACCCGGGAGGCGGAGTTTGCAGTGAGCTGAGATTGCGCCACTGCACTCCAGTCTGGGTGACAGAGGGAGACTCTGTCAAAGAAACAAACAAACAAATAAATAGAACGGAAGCCGCTGAAAGCCAGGAGGAACAGTATGGCTCTCAGGGGTGGAGGAGGCAGGGGCAATCCACTTATTTAACATATATTTTTTAACAAATGTTCACCGAGAGAACACACTCTTGTAAACAGCGTCCAGATCAAGAAGTGTATCATCACAACCCCACAAGCCCTGGCCCCCACAGACCAAGGGGAACACTCGAGGGGAGACACCTTCGTGACATCTAACACCAAGGATTAGTCTGACCAGTTTTTGAACCGTATACCCAAGGAATTATGCAATCTCTACTCTGCAGTTCAGCACATTTCGTTCAACACATATTCATACACGTGGTGTATAGCAGAAGCCTGTCAGTTGTCACTGCTGAGTAATATCCCCTTGTACAAATACACCGTAACTTATGCATCCATTCTACCTAATGGACGTTTAGGGTGCTCCTGGTCTGGGCTATTATAAATGGCACCGCTGCCACTCAGGCTGCCATGGCTCCAGGCCCAGAGCTGTGAGGAGCTGCAGCGTGGGTGCCCAGCTCAAGGCCTTGCTTCCACCGCCGTGCCAAATACTTCCCAGTAAAAATACTTGCTGAAGAGTGACTGGCAGAGCCCCTGAAGAGACTGTAAAAAGGCACCCCTTCCCCAAGAAGTTTTTTGTTATTATTGTACAGCACCAACAATTTTCCCTGGGGAGCTTTCCGGAGCCTGGTGGGCAGAGGCCCTGGCCCACGCATAGACACGCCTTGATA